GTCTCAGTGTTGCGCGATACGCGATAGCAACGGTGCTACTTCAACGGATTTTTCGCCATCGAATGAGTGGACAACAAAAAAAGAAAATCAAATTAAAAATAAAAGAAAATTTAATCTTCTCCACACACTATCACTAGCGTGTGTGTGTGTATACGTGCTTTTACAGTGTTTTTAATATTGATTCGTGTTCGGGTATTTCTCTGCGCATGACAGTTGAAATAAAAGGGTTTTGTGATCATTTAACGATTAGTGTCAGTGCTAACTTAAATTATATAGATATATGTACAAGCATACATATGTTTCTATATATATCTGTACATACCTATATATGTACATAAATAAATGCATACATATATTTTAATAACAAACTATGCAAGCAAATATTTCAGTCAGTCCTTAAAAGACGAGACAGTTCATATTTTATTATATCGCTTAGCCTACGAATGCTTGAAATCAGACAAAAAAAAAAAACAACCATGCGAATCTACAATAAAAACAGGAAATACCGAGCTCGCTGGTAGTGAAATTAAGAAATATTTATTGAAAAACTAGTAAACGTACATCCTAAACCCTGAAACACAAAAACCATAATATCAATCGGAGGTTAGTAATTCATCGTGAAAATTTGTGATATGAAAATGCTTTGATATTTACTGTGGGAAACACAATAAATCAAAAATGTTTTTTTAAACATGTATTGCTCATAATATGTACACCCACAGGACGGTTAGGTCCGCAGAAGTCCACGTAAGTGGGAAAAGCTTTTGACTGTCAGTTACCTGGGAGTGACCAGACAACGTCTGGATATTTATATCTACGTATCCTCTGGGTAGCGAGCAAATACTTCGCGTGCTCTTGGTTTGAGTCCCGCCCAATGAACCTCGGATGAGACTCTCCTTTTTAGTGACGTCCACGGCAAACGTATTAGGGACTATGATTTGAGGGCATGCACCTGGAATATCCGGACCCTTAATGGGGAAGGTTCCTATGCCTGGCTGGTTGCTATAGTCGGGAACACAAAGGTTGACATCACCGCCATCCAAGAAATGCGATGGACCTGGCAAGGCAAGGTAAGCGCAGAGCCTTGCGAACGTCTACTACAGTTGCCGCGTAAAGGAGCGCAAATTCGGTTCTGGATTCGTGGTGGCAGAGAGCGTACAAAAGAGCGTTGCCCCCGCCAAGACATAAAAATCGTGTTTGGCGATTTCAATGCCAAGGTGGGCAAGGAAGGGATTTCTGGCGCTACTGTCGGAAAATTTAGCCTGCACGACAAAACGTCCGATAACGGACTGAGGCTGATCGACTTCGCCGGGGCCCGAAATATGATATAGAAAAATCCGTCAAGTTACATTTACCCCCAACCAATGCAAGGAAAGTTTAAAGTCGAGAAGCTGTAATCACAACAGACGGCAAATTTATTCGTCACTCGACTCTGAAACCTGCTCTCAGAGAACACTCTTCAACAAGCCGACATATCCGAGCTTTGAAACCACATTTCCCACTCATTACCTAACCCTGTCGAAGAACAAAACGGATTTCAGCGAGCCCGAACTAAAAACTGGTACGGTGAGGAGTGTCAGGAAGCTGCAGAGAAAAAAGATGTCGCTTATAGGGCCACGATGCGATCGGGCGTAGCGCGCGCTGTGTGGGATCAGTATAGGGAGCTGAAGAAGGAGGCAAAGCGTATGCCGCAAAAGGAAGAGAGAGGCCGAAGTACGTGAGTGCGACGAGCTTGAAATGCTGACTGACAGGAAAAAACGCCCAAAAATTCTAGCAGAGAGTTATTCGACTTACGGAAGGTTTCAGGACCGGGGCGAACTCCTGTCAAAACAACAATGGCGACCTAGTGACCGATGTCCAGAGCGTACTCTTTAATGTCTGTCGATAACAACGGAGTCGATGTACCGCCAGACTCAACTGAAAAAGAACAAAGCTGATGGAGCTGACGTCCTGCCAGCTGAGCTATTCATGTACGGCGGCGAGGAGCTGATAGGGTGCGTGCATCAACACTTATGCAGAATATCGTCCGATGAACGCATGCCCGACGACTGGAATTTAAGTGTGCTCTGCCCAATCGACAAGAAAGGGGTTCGCGCCATACGCGTCAACTACCGAGGAATTAGCCATCTAAACATAGGTTACATTTCTTATCAAGCCTATTGTGTGAAAGACTGAAGCCCACCGTCAGCGAAATGATTGCGGCATATCAGTGTTGCTTTATATCTGGCAAATTCACCACAGATAAGGTATTAGCAAACCGCCAACTCTTGGAAAAGACTCGGAAGAATAGGATCGAGCCAAACCATCGTTTGCAATGTCATCAGCTCCGTCAGAATTGGAAAGGACCTCTCCGGGCCGGTTGGTATCCAACAATATTTCAGACAAGTTGGCTACATTTCGTGTGATTTCTTTAATCTGAGATTGGAGAGGATAATAAGAACTGCAGAACCGCTCAATCAGAATACTTTACCAGAGCGTGCAATTGCTTGTGGTTGCCGACGACATCGACATTATCGGTTAAAACAAGGACTACGTCTATTCTGCCTTCTCGAAATTGGCTAGAGAAGCAAAGCGATTGGGTCTGGTGGTGAACGGCGACAAACCGAAATATCTCCTGTTATCACACAAACAGTCAGGGGATATATGTATGTATGTCTTGGTACCCTTTGAAAAAGTAGACGGCTTCGTTTATTTGGGGATCAGTATTAACACCAATAATAATGCCAGCCTTGAAATCCAATGGAGTGCTACTTTGAAGTAAATAGGCAGTTGCGAAGTTAAGTCCTCTCTCGTTGTATGAAAACCACACTCTATATGTCACTCATTATGCCCAGCCTGGTATATGGCGCGGAGGCATGGACAATGAAAACATCTGATGAAGCGGCTTTTCAAGTTTTCGAGATAAAGATTCTGCGATATACTTATGGGTCTTTGCACATTGGCGATGACAAATACCGCAGACCAGGGCCGTAGTCAGGATTTTTGTTCGGAGGGAGGGGTTTTGGCAATTTTTTTTTTTTAGTTTCACTTTTATTTCAACATATTTTTATTTAAAGAAAAATACTGATAAAAATAAAATATTTCACACAAACAACAAAAAATATAAGCGATAATTGCATGAGGCTATTGCCTGAAAATTCTAAAATGCGCTTAGTGGCATTGTGCTACTATGATAGCACGGCCGAGCAATCATAGTAAACTTATGTACAGTTTTAAAATATCATTTTTGCTGTTATTTAGAGTTCATTCTTTAAAAACATCCGTATAAATACAAGTTTAAAGGCAGTGTCACACGATTGGGTATTTGCCAAAATTTGGTGCAAATCATGTCCCAATTGTGTGAACACCCAAAATATTTTTCTTTATCCCAATCACGAAAATTAATTTGTTGAAATTTTTCAATAAAACATCGCTGTATTTTACCAATCTTTTGACTACAAACATATTATTACCAATAGCCCAATATAAAAATGTACTAATCTGTACAAATGTACCAATCGAGTGACACCTCCTTAAAAATTTGTGCAATTTAAAAAAAAAAATTCAACAAATTTTTGTTAAAATTGAATTGAATTTAATTGAGTTCTAGTAGAATAAAGGACGAGTTTCAAATGGCTAAAAATTTCGATTGATTTTTTAGAATTTTTAAAAAGTTCGAAATTTGTACGAAAGTTTGTTGAATTTTTTTTAATATTGCACAAATTTGGAAACTTGGATCTACACGGGTTTTGTTAAAGAACGAACTATATTTTTATAAAAAAAAACACCTTCCTTTTTTATATAAATCTAGCATTTGAGGTCGAATTAATTAGCTAAAAGATAATACCGCCTTGCTCGGAAGATTACACTGATTAAAATAACGAAATCTACTTTCTCTCAGATCGACAGGAAATATGTTTAAATAATTAAAAACTATTGCCAATAAGCACATCGATGTTAATATCGTTGACGATTTGTTTCACGTTCACCGTATAAAGATATAAGAAATATCATATTATTTCGGAAGAATTCTTCACATTATTTTGGTAGAAAGTACCACTAATCACTTCTGCGAGATCGATTGTTAACTTCGATTACTCGATTATTTTTTTGTATGAATTAAGAGCATGAAACACATAGAGGTTGTTCACACTTGCCTGGTTATCAGTTTATGTGGTTATGTGGTTAAGTGGTTATGCCTTTTACTCAGTTTACAACAATAAAATACACTACAAAATAATAATTTTTAAGCAGATAACCTGAAAACCAGGCAAGTGTGAACAACCTCATAGTGTTACTCATACGCCATGTATTTAGTTACTCATATCCAGGCGTTTGAACAAACTCACTAGGAAAACAACAACAATTATTATGCGATAAAGACTATTTGAGGCGTAGTAGTACTTCCCACTGCAATGATGTAGAGTCTACATTGTCAACTATTTCGGCTTATACAAAGGATGTTATTTCCATCTGGATCTCGTTCGGATCAACGACAATCGTCAGTGATAAAAGCAGCGATGTGCTAATTGTCAATAGATTATAATTAATTTAAAATATTTCCTGTCAAATTAAGAGATTGAACATTGCGTTATTTCAATCAGCATAACTTCCCGATCAATGCGGATTATTTTTTATTCGTTAGGAAATTATTTCAGGGTACACCTAAAAAGTGTGTCATATTGACTGAGCTATTTGTAACAATTGTATGTTTTAGGTAGCAGTAAATGTATTTTTTTAAAGTGTTGGCAACATTTATTCTCTATAATGTTTAAAAAGTCTAAAAACAATTATTCCTTAGAGTGAAACGAATAAGCATAGATATAACCGTAATGACATAATCTCCGACTGTAAGATACTCACGATCAATCGCATTGACTTTTCAATATGGATGAAAGTTAGTCCCGTACCTCCTTGAAACAAAGTGCATTATCATATCAGATATACTATACACATTTCCATTTGTTATGAATAACTAAATATTAAAAAGCATATTTCTCTCTCATTGCTCTATTTTGCAGGTCCCAAAGATTGTGATCTACCCAAAGCGGCAATCACGGCACTTCACGCCGGCGTCAATAGTTTCGGCCAACTGCCACCGAACGCGCAAAATCAGGCCGACGTGGTGTTGAACGGCGGTGGTGGCGGTGCGGCACGGTTGCATGTCACAGGCGGGCTGTGCGATACGCCGAATCCGCATCATAATAACAACAACAATAACGTGAGCAACAACAACATGCAACAGCAGGATCAGGTGAGCATGCAACGAATGAAATGAAATAAAATGAAATAGTCAAAGCCCAAGGGGCAAAGCAAGCAAATATTTACTCCAAGATGAACGACAAAAAAAATATCAAAAATCTTAAAAGTTATTGAACTTCGAAAGCAATCATCCAACATTCATTGTTTATGCATTTTTATCAAATTCGTGCATATTTATTTTCGCTAAGACATACTTATGTAATTGAATGTTTGTTAATTCACAATAATCTCAATGTTTTTTCTTTTCTTTTCTTTGCATTTCCTTGATGTTCAAAAACCAAATCGATTAATCGGGCACTTCTGAATTAAACTCAAAAATATGAAATACTGATTTTCTCTTATTCGTTTACCAAACATTTGCATGCGAATTTTTGAACACATATTGCGGATGTTAATTGGTAAATGAATGAAAAATGCGCGCAAAATTTGACTTCATTATTCATTCGAACAAATGAATCAAATTGAAAAATCCAAACAAATTGAAAAGTAAGTGTATTTTTTCTTCTATCTGTTTGTATGTATGTATTTTATATGTACTTAAGAATATAGTTAAATATATATTATGGTATTTGTATATACGTAAAATAAATAAGTTTTATTGTTTATAGGCATAGACTTATTAGAGTAGAGGATTTGGTTTTGTAAAGAATTCGATTAAGATATCAGTGGAGTAGAATTTTTAGAGGCCGATTACTCAATGTCTGGTGTTATCGACTCCCTGTTGTATAGGTAGCAGAAATAATAGACTCGCCTTATTTTGACCAGTTTGGCTATACTTCTTTGTTTTAAAATTTTTTTCAAATCCTACCGAAAACGAATATATATAAAGCCACTTTAGTACCGGAGTGACAGCTAATTCCTTGTTGCTATCAGAACCAACGACAATGGGTTGGCTTAATCTCATTCGACCATTTCGGGCAACCATTTCCTGGGGGGGTTTCAAAGCACTTTAGCAGTATTTGAATGAGCAGAATTTTGACCAGCAGAGTTTGAATCTCGGCAGCAGTTACACCAGACTTTCGTGTCTGCTTAGGTTTCATTGCTTCGCCGACAGCAGAACTCTGCTTTTTAGACGAACTTGTAGCAGCTTTTGGAAAGGTGCTAGAGTTAGGTGAAGCAACTTGGAAGGTAGCGCAAGAGTTTGTCGCAGTACTATTTCGTCTATAGGCGTACTTGGTTTCGCTGGTTTTCATCCAAAAACTTGGAAGGCGAGGACATGTGTTCGCCAAAGATTTTCGTCGCATTAGCTTAACTTCCTTTGTTCTCAAAACTTTCGAGAGGGTTGTAGACGCACACGTCCGGGGGTTTTTCCACTGCGATGGCATGTCTAAGGCACAGCATGAATATTTACGGGGACGATTCACTGAGGCGGTGCTTCAAGAAGTCTTTAGAATAGTCGAGAGGTTACTCGAATTTAAGCAATATACTCTGGAAGCCTTCCATGATATAGAAGCAGCATTTAACAATGTTCGGGTAGAAGCTATCCAAAAGTTCATGAACGAGCTCGGCGTCGGAGTCAATAGGCGCATGGCTAATGACGACGCTTCACAGCAGAACGATTTCAGCTAAATTTGGAAGCTACACACTACTAAGGAACTCCTCAAGGTGGAGTGTTGTCTCCAATTTTATGGCTTAGCACAAACAAACCAGTACTACTCAAGCTTAAACAGGTGGTAGTAAAAGTAGTAGCCTACGCTGCCGATGTAGTGGTTCTAGTAACCGGGTTATTTCCATTTGTGGTGAGTAATATCATGGATGGAACTTTAGCAGAGCTATGCTGGTGGGCCGAGCAATGTGGCCTTAGAGTGAACGCAGAGAAAACAGAATTAATGCTCTTTGCGGCCAGGTCCCTAGCTTCGAATTACCAGAGCTGAATTGGCAAAGCCTACACTTATCTAAACAAGCGAAACATCTGGCAGTCATACTGGATCCTAAGCTAAGTTGGAAAATAAATACTGAAGAGAGAGTAAAGAAAGCGAGCATTGCCTACTACTCCTGTAAGCGGATTTTTGGGAAGACATGGGGGTCTCAATTCAAAAGTGCTACTCTGGATATACACAGCGGTTGTACGTCCGATCTTATGCTACAGTTATCTGGTATGGTGGACAGCCTTAAAGAACCGATTAATTATGTGAAACTGGGAGTTCAGAGAGCTGCATGCATCGGGACCACAAAGGCAATGAGAACTTACCCCACAGATGCCCTCAATGTTATTACAAACCTATTTCTATGCAAATTAACATATTGCACACCGCATCAGTCTTGGCTATATGGCTCAGAGATCTGGGTATATGGAAAGAAGGAACAATCGAACATAGCAGCATTATTTCTCGATTGCCACCTAAGATGAGACTGGCTACCAATCACATACGACCTGAAGTAGAGTTTCACAGGCCTTTCGGCCTTGTAAGTACCAGAATAAGCAGAGATAGACGCATGAAAATGTATACTTATATGATCAGAAAGTCGAGCTGAGTCTGTCTGTTTGTCTGTTCACCTGCTTGTATGCAATATTGCCTTTCAGTTTTCGAGATATCCGACTAAAATTTGGTGAGCGTATTTCCGAAATGTATTAATCATTTGTCGGAACCGGAAAATTCGGACCACTATAACAAATAGCTCCCATACAACTGATTGTTCAAGAACATGAAATTTCGTACCGTTTTCACCAATTATCAACATAATGCTTATGGAGAAAATGACAAAGATTGGGTCACTATAACCTATAGCCTCCATACAACTGATTGTTCAGATATGGCGTTTTACTATAAAACTCCTTTAGTTGGACATCTAAAACTGAGATATTTTGTGAGCTATTTGCTAAGTAATAGCACAAATCAGCAAGATCGGTGCTGCATAAGCTATATCTTTTATGCCACTGATTGTTCAGATATAAGTTTTTGCGATATATGTAACTTCTTTATGTAGCCAGCTAAAACCAATAATTGGGTAATTATTGAAAATTTTGTTATTTGTAAATCTTAATCGAATCGCCTCAGTCCATATTGTAGCATTGTTGGATTACTTTTTGATTCTCAGTTCTCAGTATATTTTATCGGTATATAGTTTATATACATACAAACATACATTACTGGCCAACCAACTTCATGGAAAATGGCTTACTTTCAACAGCGTTTCTATCTTTTGCAGAACTCGGATAAAAACAAGCAGAAGCGACATCGCACCCGCTTTACACCTGCTCAGCTGAACGAGTTGGAGCGTTGCTTTTCGAAAACACACTATCCGGACATTTTCATGCGTGAAGAGATTGCGATGCGTATTGGATTGACAGAATCGAGAGTGCAGGTGAGTTTGTAGAATCCAAAGAAAAGCGCATACATACATACACATAGATACTTAACTACCCTGAAGGAAAGATTGATCGAATTGTTCGAAAAAATACAATCGAAAATATATTAGTTTTATATATAGAACAAAGTAGTCTAAAAAATAAAGCAATGTAGCGAAAAGTAGGCAAATTGTACTAAAAGTGGTCCGAATGTAATGCAGAGAGTTTTGATCTGAAATTGGTTACAATGTCCTGCAGAAGCGTACAACCGATAGAAATAATGATTTAGTGATATGTAGGGACAAAACGATACTAGTAAAAACAAGCACTTACTCGATACTTTTCAACCGATACCAAGTAATTTTGGTATCGATATTTTTGGACCGAGTACTGAGTAAGTATCGGAAGAAAGTACTTGTATCGAAAACCGATTAAGTGACAATTTCATTACCGGACTTTTATTTTTTAATATAATTATTATTGTGAGTATCTAAACATTTTTGACAGTTTGGTTGCCAACGAAAAGAAAGACCTATAAATAAAGACCTACATATTATCATCTCATTAACATATCGCTAGCTTGAAGAGAAAAGTTGCTAAGTCCACTTTTTGTGAAAACTCATATTTGGATATAGGAAGCAAGGTAAATTAAAAACGCTGCGTTTCCAAAAGGATTACATAAATAACGTGCTTGGTTTATTTCTTCCCGTCTATGTATATTCAATTAAAGGCAAATTTACTAAGACCAAAAGAGGCACAGAAAAATCGATAAGCTCACAAAAAGTTCTAAGTCTAATTTGCAGCGGAACCTTCTGCGAAATTCTTGCGGGAAATGTTTTGAAACGTTTTTTCCTCCCTTGTAAATTTTTTACAAATGGACTTAGCAACTTTTCACTCAAGAAATTATCAACATGATTACTTATTTCAGAAATATACCATTGTTACTCTGCAAAACTGTTGTTGAACAGTGTTATAATACAAATGACTTTTATTATTTAATTAATTTGTATGAAATAAATTATAAAATAATTGTTTTTGAACTCAATCGCAAATTCAAAAGCAAATTCTGTTAACAAAATTCTAGGGATTTCTTAAAAAAACAACTCTGCACTTTTTTCTTGTTTTTTTTTTTTTTTGGGAGGCCATCCTAGTAAAACATGTTTTAAAACTTAAAGTTTTTCTTAAAAAGATTAAGTACCATTCGTCTTAGATCAAAAATTACAATGATTACAATGTCATCCACAAATATAATTTTAATCGTGTGAATGCAAACATATTTTTCTTTATCGCAATCATGAAAAACAATCTTTCCAACTTTTTCCATAGAAGTTCGCTGTATTGTACCACTCATGTGACTGCAAAAAAAATTGTCGTCCCATTGTTTTCGTTTTGTACCAATAACCAAAAAAAAAAAAAAAATTATAAATCTGTACAAGTGCATCAATCGCGTGACACTACCTTTACAAATGCACTACTTACAATTACCTATAGTCTAGATTGTGGTGTGATCAAAGTCTATTCCGAGATCCTACAGGGTATGTATTACAGTTACTTCGCAAGCACAAAGATGCAGTAATGTAGGAGAGAAGCACTGCCAGTTTTATGGATTTGTCGCCACAAGCCATCAATATTGACAGCGTTGCATTTTCAAAATGTTGTGGCTTTGAGCGAACAAGTGTCGTAACTGATTGCGGTTTTAGTCTATAGCAGTTGTAATGGTTTAGAATAATTGTTGCTATTGCCACTATTGATCCATGTTATTGGCAGTGCTATTCGATAAATGTTGTCGGTTTTTGCTTACACATTAGTTATGCTCGTGGTGGCCTATAGATTTGGCTTAACTGCATTTGGCTGACCCATGTTTTATATACATACATACATACATATGTACATATGAATATACTTGCATACAATACAATAATTCGGTGGCTTTATTGGTGAAGCTATCGGCTTGTTCGACATGTTCAGCATGTTGGACATGACATTTTGTGCATAGATGTTCAATATTTAGTCACCGGTTTCGTTACATTAGACCGCATATTTGTTTTACACATTTCGTTTGGCTTTATTTTAAGTGAGATTGCGTATTGTGAACTACATATTTAGAAAAAGTTATTTTTATCAAACCATGTATGATATTTAGGTTACGTTAATATTGAGAAAGGAGAAAGAGGATTATTTTTATCCGTAGCGTGAGTTTAAGTGATCAGAAACATTTTCTTCCTAACATTAATTTTTTGCTTAACAGATTTACACCACCAATTTTTGATTAAACTAATTAAATAATTCATGCTGGATCATTTGTTATGACGTTTTTATATTACTAGTGTTCGCCCAGCGGTTGAAATTCAACCGATAAAATTAAGGATAGTTTATGTAAGTTGAATGAGCTAAAATAACATTAGTTGGAATGGGTTAAGTGGAGGGGAGTTTAGCTTAGTACTTGGTATAACATAACATAACCATAACATAAGAATAAATAACATAACATATGAAGCATAACACACCACAATATAACATCGCACACTCTTCAGTTGTATTTCCTTTTTATCCCTTTTTTCACCTCTATCTAAATCTTATTTATTTTGGTTCATTTTATGCCAAATGATGTTGCCTTTGATGCCACATCAAGTGATATCATGTCATGTGGTGAAATTGGGTGTGGTGAGCTGCGGTGTGGTGGAATTGGGTGTAGGAGTTACGGTGTGGTGAATTTAGGTGTGGTGGATTCAGGTGTGGTGAGTTAAGTTATGGTGAGAAAGTTGAGGTGTGGTGAATTAAGGTGTGGTGAATTTTGGTGTGGTGAGTTGAGGTGAGTTAAGGTGTGGTGAGAAAGTTGAGGTGTGGTGAATTAAGGGTGGTGGATTTAGGTGTGGTGGATTTAGGTGCGGGGGTTAAGGTGTGGCGAGTTGAGGTGTGGTGAATTTAGGTGTGGGGAGTTAAAGTGTGGTGAATTAATGTGTGGCGAGCTCAGGTGGAGTAAGTTTTTAAGTTAAGATGAGTTAAAGTTAAGGGGTTATGATCTTTATCCTCATCTTCATCTTCATCTTCATCTTCATCTTCATCTTCATCTTCATATCCACCTTCGTTTGTATTTAGGTTTCTTTACTTTTATTCTAATCTTTGCCTTTATCCCTTTCTTCTTCTACATATTCAACTTTACCTTCTTCCTTGCATGAATCTTAATCTTCGTAAATCTGATTTCTAAACTGCTGCTTAGCAGATTTCTTTAATTCAGTATCAATATTAAAGCAATGTCATTGATGCCACATAAAGTGATATCATGTCATGTGGGGAAATTGGGTGTGGTGGTTTGCGATGTGGTGGAATTGGGTGTGGGAGTTACGGCGCTGTGAATTCAGGTGTGGTGGGCTTAAGAGGTGCGGTGAGTTTAGGTGTGGTGAATTTATCTGTGGTGAGTTGAGGTGTGGTGAATTTAGGTGTGGGGAGTTAAGATGTGGTGAGTTGAGGTGTGGTGAGTTAAGGTGTGGTGAGAAAGTTGAGGTGTGGTGAATTACGGTGTGGTGGATTTAGGTGTGGGGGGTTAACGTGTGGTGAGTTGAGGTGTGGTGAATTAAGGTGTGGTGAATTTAGGTGTGGGGAGTTAAGGTGTGGTGAGTTGAGGTGTGGTGAGTTAAGGTGTGGTGAGAAAGTTGAGGTGTGGTGAATTACGGTGTGGTGGATTTAGGTGTGGGCGGTTAACGTGTGGTGAGTTGAGGTGTGGTGAATTAAGNCTCTTTGTCTTTATATCTAGGTTTCTTTACTTTTATTTTAATTTCTGTATTTATCACTTTCTTCTTCTCCATACTCAACTTTACCTTCTTCCTTGTTTGAGTCTAATCTATTCATGTACATACATACATACATTTTATTCCTGAACTGCTGCTTAGCACGTTTCTTTAATTCGCTATCAATATTAAAGCATACATTTAGGGGGCATTTCCGCCCCAACCATGTACATGTGTGCATTGGTATTGGTGTGACTTTTGAATTGATTTTGTCGCTCTATTTTAAACTGATTTGAAATTTTAAAAATTGCCTGCACATCAGCATCAAAATACCTTTCTATTGATATATAACTGTTTATACCTTAGAAGTATAGTTTAGCCGTAAAAGGGGTGTAAAGGAAACATGATTGCCTATTTATATATATGATGATGTAGAAAAAAAGAAAAACATGTGTAAATATCTGTGTCCCCGAAGTAGTATCGAAATGATCCCAAAGAAGTTCCGAACAAGTCCCGAAATGGGCTTGAACTATGAAAGTAATAGTTAGGGTTTTTCAGTATCGATGCCAAAAGTACTCAGAACTCGATTCTCCCGAATTTTAAAAGTATCATGCATGTTCTCAGGGTTGATTCAAAGTACTCTGTGACGAAAAGATACTTAAAAGTACCGGTATTCAGAAATGAGTGTACTTAATTCGAAGTTTCAATAGCTTTCAAGTACAATACTTGTACCCAGTAAAGTTAGCCATTCATTTGACGTAATTTTGGATTAATATAGTAATTTGAATAAAGTGATGCCAACTTGTGAGATTTCTACACTAAGCATTGAAATGTTACCAACATGCGTATATTCAAAGAAAGTACTGAGTACTCTCAAAAATACCCGATCTTTAAAAGTATCGATACCAAAGAACTCGATCCTTAAAAGTACTCGATACTTACCAACACTAGAAATAATACTGCACTGGTTTCAAAATAGTCCCGACCTAGCCCCGAAAAAGTCCTGAACTACTCCGATCTAGTTCGGAAATGCTCTAGAGAAGCTTCTGATTTCGTCTTGGTTTATACATTTTTTCATTTAACATTTTAAACGACGACGAAAAACTCTTCTTCTTCTTCAGCTTATAATCGCATTGTAATCGTTTTGTTCTTTGCAAATTTCCGCACCAACAGTAGACAAGCCTTTCTGCACTTTGTCTTTGCAACCGTGGTCCAGAGGTTTTGCATGGGATAGTTCTTTCAAAAGCCGACTAAACCTTTTGCACTTTTGTTCCACACCGTCCAAGATA